AGGCACAGTATCACTGGACTGAGGGAGGGCGGTATTCCTCCTTGTAGGTCACCTGCTTGGCAATATGGGACGGGAAAACTGCAGGGGGTGAGGGCAGTTAAGTTGATGGTACAGACAGATAAGAGAGATCATTTTACAAATGTGAAACCTCAGTCCACAAAGGAAGAGGCGAAAGCTGAAACTTGGTGAGGTTTACAAAACAAAGGCAGTTATTTCTAGTTTCTTACTGACTCTCGAAGATACATTTAATAAAACAATTAATGCGCGCGCGCGTGCGTGCGTGCGTGCGCGCGCGCGCGCGTGTGTGTGTGTGTGTGTGTGTGTGTGTGTGTGTGTGTGTGTGTGTGTGTGTGTGTGTGTGTGTGTGTGTGTGTGTGTGTGTGTGTGTGTGTATGTGTGTGTGTATGTGTGTGTGTGTGTGTGTGTGTGTGTGTGCGAGGTAGAAGAAGAATTGTACACCATAAAAATGGCTACGTATGTAGTTGGGGTAGATATGTTGAATGCCCGGCCAGTATGACCTTTGAGTCACTACAGTTTCAGTCATTAAAATGCGTATTTGAGTGAAAGAAAACACTATAAGTGAGTGAAACAAAAGACCTCAGTACAGGCACACCCAGTCCCCCAACCCCAAGTCTGCATGTATCAATACTCATACCTGCCACATCCTCAACCACTTAACTTACTCACACAATCATCTGACAACATGTTCGCCAACCCTCGTATCACAACGCATGCACGCACACACACGCACACACACACACACACACACACACACACACACACACACACACACACACACACACACACACACACACACACACACACACACACACACACACAGAGATTATTATAACGCAATATATTTCATCCGTCAAAACATCACAGAAAGAGGGGCAGCCTGGAATTTTACAATGGCATCTGAATGCACTAAGACGTTCAACTGGTCAGGAGGTGAGAGTTGCGGAAGATTACGGTAAACTTCAGTTACAGATCTCCATTACGAATATCTAAAGTATGAATAAAGATCACAGCTTGCTATGACGTGTACTTCATGCCTGCAGAATTAGCAATGTCCTTAGCTCTAAATTGTATGTCTAAACGCTTATGTAGACAAAGACCCAAATGTGTATAGGCATGACCACGGACGTATATACGTCTTTGGCATGACCATATTATATTCTACGCAAATATCACCACATTTAAAAACAAAGCTAGATTGAGTCTTTGAAGGGCATTAAGAACTGATACACACCAGGAAAAATATTTATGTATGTCAACGGAGGAACACTGCGTTTCGGAATATATACTTTCTCCTTCATCAGGTGCATATTATTAAATGATATGAGGTAGAGAACATATATTTGTACCTGTAAGAACAACAAAAGTAAAAAGATAGCAAAGAAGGGAACGCAACAAGGGAAGCCAACAGATAACTGGCATGGCGCTGATTACCCCGCCTCCCGTTTGCCCATTGTCCATTTCCCATTACCAATCATTCCTAAGTTAAGTTTTGGCTTTAATTTGTCCATTGATAATCAACCATCAACGTCTATTATCTCCACCCTAAAAATATGAAGTTTACTGATAAAGTGGTATCCAATATATAATGTGTGTTACTGTTATCCACTTTCTTAAAGGCATTGTTGGTTCAAAGCTTTCGGTCATAGAAGCCGTGCCATTTTTCTCTTGTCAGAGGAGTACACAAAGTATACGTCATCTGGACTAACATTTTTGGTTCGGTGGCTGGGTTAGATCGCCAACTTTGTGTTCTGGCGATTGGGTGCCTCACTCACAGTGTGAGTTCAAATCCCGGACGGGACTCAACCCAAGAAAGTACGAGCATCTGTACTTTACTCAGAACGTGTTATCCCAATTATAACATTTGTTGTCAAGAAAACACAATAAATGTATATTCGGCTTTGGATGGATAATGATATCACAGACATATACGGATATTGATGATGACTTGGAGGAGCTTCGTAACGCACGTCTTCTCAATTCAGGGATTGGTAAATCCAAATATGAGTGTGTGCGTGCCTGCGTGCGTGCGTGCGTGCGTGCGTAAATGTGGGCCTGTTGGATGTTACATAAAACATTCATCTTGTGGTAGTTCGAGTTGGATTAGCATGTTAACTATATGATCTTCTTTAGGCATAGAATGCCGCGCATGAATGTATTGATGAAATTCCTAGGTACATGGGGCCTTTTCGTCCCCAGGAATACCCACAGTGGAGACTTCAATGGGGATAGGGTGTACACAATGTGCTACCTGGTAGATTGTGTGTCATCAGACCGGACAACGTTGGTCTTTGACTGATTGTGGCGTAAAACACACTTATTCATTTACTTATATCGGAAATTGAATGTTCATCTTAATTGTTATTGTTGAACATGTAATATATTTTTAAAGAAATAAAACAGTGACATAATAACTACAACTTTATGTGAGCGCGAGTAGCTTTTTTGGAATGAGATGAATAAGTCTTATAAAGTTGTAAGCTACTTCACAACCGTGTAACTATGAATTGACTTTATTGGGTAATCAAAAAAGAGATAGGACCTAAAATAGCCAAATTTCATACGATTTCACTTGTCCACCATCTTGGATGCAAGGCGAAAACATTTCAGCGCGTTTGAAGCCACTGAGAATGCCCCCTGCAGAGTTGGACGAACATTCTGCGGTGGCGCGGCTGAGTTGACCAGAGGCTATCAGCAGTATTTCCTGTCCAGGTTATTTAGGTCAGTTGTTTGTGTGTGTGTGTGTGTGTGTGTGTGTGTGTGTGTGTGTGTGTGTGTGTGTGTGTGTGTGCGTGCACGTGTGAGCGTGTTTGCGTGCGTGCGTGTGGGGGGTGGGGGCGGGGGTAGGGCGTGGGAGGTGAGATTGGGGGGACAGATGATAGATTTAGCAACAAGTAAGGTCATCTTGAGTGGGAGGGTATTCGCAGATGGATTAGCATATGAACTATGATTCTCTTTAGGCAGAAAATGAGGATCCACGATGTTCGACTTGGTAGAAGTGTGTTATCAAACCTCACAGCATTGTTTTTTTGACTGACTGTAGCGTCATTTACTTGAACTGAATGTTTATCTTAATTGTTATGGATAGTCACGGAGCCATGATCCAGAGAGCAGGGTGTCATTAGATAGAAATAAACTAAGTAATAATAGGATTACCAGAAAAACGGGGTTTTACACACAAGCCAATAAACTTCGCTCATTAACACCAGAGTAAGTCAGTACAAGATTGAAAACTGCCCCATAGGTATGTATGACATGCTTGTCGGGTATTGCTACATATATATGTGAAAACAAGGTTATTAAAATGAAGAGCAAAACTGATGAAAGTTAACCATAAACGTGTATACGCGTTATATCGTCACTGCAAAAATAATGATTGTTTGTCTTTAGTATTAACATTCAAATACGTTATATCTGTATTAGCGATATTGTCTTTGTTCCACCGGTGAGTCAGCGTTAGCCCTACTATCTCGTAGTATAATTGTATTTCTGAAGACATCACGATACAGTTTTTACGATGCATCACGTCTGCACTAGCGCTTGATAACAGCCTAGTGTTTGGGTGTTTCAGTGGTTTAAATCGCTGCTCTTGATTTTGTTGATTTAACTTTGATACTATGAACAATATAATGTTATGTGAGAGGTTGACTTTAGAACGGTAACATACTAATAGTATATAGGATGACATAAACAGAACAATGAGAAGTTCGTCCAGATTAGTGTATAGGCAACATTTAATAATTAAAATAATTACATTCAACAATTCCCCTTTTAAGTCCATTTTCCTGACTTATAAGTAAATGCAAGAACAATCGGCCGGAATACAATGTATAGTTCTTGTCCACTTCCATATGACTATATAGCATACAATAAGCTATCGGGTCCCGTTTAGATCGGTTTGGGTGGCAGGCTAGATAGCCATAGAATAGTTTCATCTTGGAATCTCCCATATCACCGGGGATCCTCTTCAATTTAAATGGAGTTACTCGTTACGATTCCGAACCTTCACGTGACTGTGTTTATGAACCATTGTCAAATAGTGGTGACATAAATCTAGGAAACAATACGCGAAATCGCGCATGCACAGAACGGAAAATTTGGTCAAGGCATTAAGTAATCCGCATGCGCAGAACGATTGATTTCAGTACTTCCGCCAAGCGCTTCGAGTGCAGCGTCAAACGCGGGCCTGTAATCTAACACGCGGGGACTGACCAATGAAATCTGAGAAGTAGAAATACCGGCAGACGCTGTTGCTTGATTGACAATGTCAATCAAGAAAGGGAGGAGCTTAACGCTATCGTTCTCTCCCAGTAAATTCCGATGTCAAATAACGACGTTATTTGGACGGAAAAACGATGGTTTGAAAACGTCCAAATAACGTCGTTTTTCCGTCCAATGACCATATACGGAAAAAAACGACGTTTTCGTGTTTGCAGTGTTAAAAGGTAATATGTAGTGGATAATCCTAAACTGAAACCATATCAGATCTACACTCTGGATACACCTTGTAGCCATCAAATTAAATCCCACCCACTGTTCATCGGTAAATACTTTCTGTAAAGTTTCTTCCCATTTAAGCATTCCATGACATTTTATAAAAGAGTAGTGTAAGAGTGTGTTATAGAAAAGTTTACTGCCTTTATTACCCCTTGTGAGTAGTGAAACATTAGGCAAAATAGGTTGAAAAGAAACTCTAGGCATACTCTTAAAGTTACAATTGTTTGGGGTTTTTTTTCTGGCAAGTTGCACTATTGATTGAAATATGCCCTGATATGTTAGGAACTTTGTTGTTATTCCATATCTATCAATAAAAACATCATAAGAATTCATGTTATGCATTTATAACGTTGAAGGTGGCATTTATCCTTTTTCTAAACCTGTAAATTTGCATGCCATATTGAATTTTTAATAAATGGTATTTGCCATTATATATTTGTCATTTGCCAATTGTTAAAATCGTATTCTTTTCTCATTTCATACAGAATTCGCCGACATGATGACCAAGAAAGATTAATCAACAACACACGATCTTGATCATGATCACAGATATTCTTTCCTTCGTCTCTCCTGATGCCATGATGGTCTCACCTGTATTCTCATCATCTCATCTTACAGCTCCTGGTTCCTACTGATGTTCTGGTAGTCTCCCCTGTATTCTCATAATAATCTTATCTGAAGTCTCGTGGCCTCTTCTGACCTCTTCGTCGATTTCACCTGTAATTATGCCTGTTACCTCGATGAGACAAGCGCCCATCAGGATCCTGGTGTCAGACGCCATCACGAGGGCTGAACTTGTGCCAATTCTGGTTGTAACAATGTCGGTTTTTTAGCAGAACGTCATTTACGGCAACCCCAGTGCAACCCCTGAAAGTGCAACTCCATATCTAATTATTAAATATCACTATTTGATGCCTTAGCAAAGAACTGTCAATATTAATTCACGAGGAACAGATAATCCGAAATACGGAGTTGCGAGAAGGTTATTATTTCTATTAACCCAGGTCTTTTGTCTGAGAAAATGTAGAAAAATGTGTGTTTCCTGATATCAAGTGGAGACATCAGCACTATTACTCTATTGAAGGAACGACGTCACATAAAATCGCCATTACGTCCTGAACAATGAATGACGTCATTCAATATTATTATTTTCGAGATTGCGTTCATGTGACGTTACGTGGCTATGTACTTCTTCGTAAAGAATGAAAACAAAGTAACAATTGTTATAATGCTCTTATGTGTAATATAAGTCAGTTTCAAGGGGAAGATAACTTTGTCCCATAGTGTATGGTTCCATTAGCACGATGAACGAATACGTTCAGGTTAATGCGCAGATAGGGATACCTAAGATTATTCGTGGTTTGACTGACTGCTAATTGGTATATAACGATAAAGGCAATTAAGATAAGATATATTTAATTGATATCATCGATTGTTTCTGATAATAGGAGGTTAAAATGTCAGTTTGTTACCCGAGTAGGTTGCATGGGTCATTTATGTTAATAATTCATGACTACTGCTATTGCAGTTTGAACCATGAGATTCATTTGTATCTAAATGCATGTAAGGTCAACATTATAATCATACTATTGAAGCTATTCGTGATAATAAAAAATATAATTGAGAATGCATAGTTTGTTTTGATTGCTTTGCAATTTATTTATTTGCATCAACCTGTCGATCTTTCTTTAATGTTCATATTTGGATCTTTAGGGAAGAACTTTAATGGCACTCGTGAGGCATCGTAGTTTTTATCTTCGTTCCACCCAATACACAATACACGGTACATCATACACTGACATCATTTCTTGATGTATTAGCGGGGATGTTAATAGTATTTGTTTGTTTGCTGTTTTACGCCGCACTCAGCATTAGTCCAGCTATATGACAGCGGTCTGTAAATAATCGAGTCTTGACCAGACAGTCCAGTGATTGATATCAAGAGCATCGATCCACGCAATTGGGATCGATGACATGCTTCAACCAAGTCAGCGAGCCTGACCACCCGATCCCGTTAGTCGCCTCTTACGACAAGCATAGTCGCCTTTTAGGGCAAGCACGTTAATAGTAACTGAATGAAAAAGAATGCCGCTTTCCCTGTTTGATAGCGACGTAAAAATAATCTTTAAAATATATGCATATTATCCATTAGGGTAGAGAAAGAGAGTGTAACTAAAGTTCCGTCATTAAGCAGTACTCAATGATGATTGGTCAGTTGAAGGAATATGGCGTCATATTGTTTCGTTGTTGAGAACATGACGTCACAAATTAATACAATTGCGTCATCTGAACAATTGTTTGACTTAGTGAAGTTTCTGTGTAGGGTTGATATCATACACGGATTATCTGTCCTAATAAATGAATTTTTCAGATCATATTCATACCTTTGTTCAGGTAAATGATACGAAATATTTATTCATACGGTAACTCTATTACTGTGTAATTGCGATATGTATTCTGACATTGAAATACGATTTAAGAGATTAGTTGTGTTTGAAAACAGGACAATAAAAACATCGGTCAAATATATATATATATATATATTTAAAATAAAATTATAACAGCCAGTTTTCTTTTTAATTATCAATTTGCAAACATGGGTGGAAGATATAACATCGATGTTATGTCGATAGAGGCAAGAACCCTTGATATATGATCTACTTCTTGCTTGTCCAGAAATCTACAATGATAATGGCCCATTGTCAATTTCCGAAAGTGGATGAAAAGTAAAACAATGATTTTATATCGATAGAAGCAGGAACCCATCATACATATTTTACGTCTCGCTTGTCTAGAAATCAACTTCCTCAATGAACCTCACCATTTCTGACAGCCTTGTTGCAGGAGCTGACTGATAACATTTTCTCACGACATCGGCATATACTCAGAACATAACCGGCTGTATAGAAACATGAGCGCCATCAATGGAACTGTTTACATATTTAAATTACCGTTTTTCCCAATCATGCAATGAACGCAAACATATCGCTCAGCGCTATCGATTACTCAACCAGCTTCGCATCCTTCATCAGCGCTGCCTGAAAACACAAAGTATGTACACTGTATCGAGTACACGGATGGCCTATATACACAAGCGTCGTTTTTACGGGGGATATATGATATTGATATAAGTTTCGTTTACTTATTGTTAATAATATATGATGGACCAAAACAGCATTCCTATAAAACGTCCCGAATGTCAAATAATACACAAGTCAAATAATAAACAGAATGTCCGTTAGTCCTGCCTGGGTGATTGACAAGCAGCTGCTCTGCCGCAAAAAGCTCTTTCCACAGAACAGTTTCTACTACAGATAATTTTAAGACGTGGCGCGCAGTACTATGCGTAACAATGAACACGCATCAATATTTAATGTATGAAGAGAAGACCGTACCACAGTTCAACGCACTCGAAAGGAAGATAGTGTTTTCTACATGGAATCCCGTTGACTTCAGGTTTGGAAGGGATATCGGAAAGTACTGCGTGTAATTTGTGCATAACGGTACACGTGCATGAGGTGATACGGACAATCTTCGCCTCCTTCTACCCGTGTAACGGTTAATGACGTCACCACAGTGAGTACCCGTGGCTAAGATGGTAAGTGTCCTCTCATCATATCATCATGTTATCATATTATCATATAATGTAAACAAATTGTTGTTCTATTTCGACGGTGTATAAAGGCTCACGTTTTGGAATTTATAACGTATTTATATTAATAATTCGTGTTTGGTATTATTATTGCCTATTGATCAGGAGGTATGAATAGATTAGGGTATCGGTAACGTATTAGTTTTGCAGTAGATTTAAACTCTAGGGGTCTCATTTTCATGCAACACTGCGGCTCACGTCAGCCGCATTTGAGGAAGCGGTTGTTTAGGTTTCTGTTGTCATGCCTGCATTGTGTTGACTGGGGTATGTTCTTGGAAGTGAGGCACAAGACTTACAGGAATAATGAACAAGGTTCTATCTATCTTGCAGGTAGATAACGTTCCGGCAGAGAAACTGAACGGTAAGATCCGATTATTAATAATCTCTTAGAACAAAATACTGTCCATGTATTATTGGTTTGGCATAAGCATTGAATGAGGACGTTTCAGCTGGCTCTTGTCGCCATTTCAGTCATTTGACGGGGGAATTAAACTGTTAATGATGTCCATGCAATTTCAACTGGGTTCGAACCTGGCCTTCGAACGCGAGCGAACGCCCCATCCATTAGACTTCTTCTGCTAGTATTATTTTGTCTTAGATAATGTATGGAACTTTTAACAGTAATAAACGGCGGGATGAAACCATCACTGCACTCAACCTTTGTCCATAGGAAATCGAACCTTGAATTATCCTTGACAGGCGAACACCCGTACTACCAGAGTACCCAGCATTCAGTGATGAGCTCGTACAGAGTAATTTGCCTCGTGTAATGAATACAGTTGAACCTCCATGTCTCGAAATAATTTGGGAGTCCCAAGTATCCAACTTAAGCATTAAATTCCCCTGATGTCTCGAACCCCGGATAGCTCGAAGACTTTTCCCAGGACCCCATGAGATCGATACAACGAGGTGTAACATAACACCAGAACTACAACACTTTTTCACGAATCATTTTCCTTTTTCACCAAACAGAGTACAAAGAGGCGTTCCAGTTGATTGACAAGAACGGCGATGGCGTGTTGACGTTGCTGGAGCTGCGGTCGGTGATGAAGTTGCTGGACCAGGACCCCACCGACGACGAGCTGAGGGACATGATGAGAGAGGTGGACGAGGATGGTATAGTCACAATTAATAACGCGACATATACATGTTTAAGAAACATACGGGAACCTGTGAAGATCTGGATTAAAACTGGTCTTCAGCAACCCATGCTTGTGATAAGAGGCGACTAACGGGATCGGGGGGTCAGGCTCGCTCGCTTGGTTGATCCAAGTCATCATATCCTATTTGCGTAGATCGATGCTCATGGTGCCAATCACAGGGTTGTCTCGTAAAGACTCGAATATTACCAGACTGCCGTCTCATCGCTGTATTATAGCGTCCTTATATTAACAAACACACAAAACATACGTGGGGGGATGGGTGGTATTTGTTGGAGATATGATATTTGTCTGTCAATGGTTCCAGACAAAATGTTTGCAGCTTTTTCCAGGATATGGAATTGTTTAAACTTCCAGTGGTCAGTCCCTAATTCACATTGTTAAGTTTACTTCATTTCAAAAGGTGTATATAGTTGTCGTAAGAGGCGACTAACGGGATCGGGTGGTCAGACTCGCTGACTTGGTTGATGCATGCCATTGTATCCCAATTGCGTAGATCCATGCTAAAGTTATCAATTACTGGTTTGTGGTTCGTTAAACAACAAACAACCAAACCAACAAACAAACAATCAATCATTCCATTTCTTGAAGCCGTATATCACTTCCAGGTCAAGAAGACTTTTAAATGATGGTACATGGGTCTGTTACCATACGTTCTCGTTGGAATACGACTAGAAACAATATGTATGAAAATTGCACGGTGGTAGTATCAACAACATTTTCCTTTCTCAGATCTCTTTATTGTAAATGAAATCCACACACAAAAAGAAAAACTCGTATCACCGAGAATGAGCGATGATATAATGGGTAAGAAAAAATAAATGCGTTGCCACTATGGAAGCCTTTTAGGGCCATTCTTTTTTTAATTTATTTTCTTGAAATTTCAAATACTAAGTTGAAATTTCAAGATACATACTGAGTTGTTATGATGATTGTCAGATGTTATGTTGAAATTTCAAGATATAAAGCTGAAATTTCAAGATACATACTGAGTTGAAATATCAAGATAATAAGTTGAAATTTCAAGTTAATATCTTGAAATTTCAAATTAAAAAATAAAAATAAAAGTAGCCCTGAAAGGCTTCCGTACGTAATAGGTATCAGCTGAAAAAGATCCATTGCAATACATTTAGAAAGCATGTATACATAACGCATAAGCTACAGGAGGGAACCAGTCTATGTAAGGATGGCTGTTATGCCAAAAGTACAGCGATAGGAAATTTGCTGCGTTCTAAATGAGGGTGAATAGAAATCCATCCAATGTTAAAAAAAAAATATATAAAAAACATTTCTTGAATACATATATAATATTGATCAGCAGAAAGGCCATAGAAGCACCACCACCTTAGGTGCAGTTCGGTAGTGCTCTTTGAAAGCATAAAGCTTACGCCTGTCATATCGCTAAGATCGCATTGTGGGAAGAGGATCTGAATAATGTTTGTTTTTATGTTAACTGACACCAGATAAGCAGTAATTCTAGAAACTCTTTCTGTTGTTCTATCAGCATACGAAGAGTCCGTTTAACCTTTCACGAACGAGTTAAACAATTAATTCTCCGCCGTCTTGCGTGCGATGCAGAAACCTGCTTCGAGTTTCCTTCAAAGACCTTCAAACGTTGCCGTTACACGATTCATTGGTCTCATGTAACGGCGTCCATACTTTTAATCTGCGTATTGCAGCGAAGAGTGGCATGGATCCCACCCTGGCTCATTCTCTATTCGGCCTTGACCCACTTCACACATCTCTTGGTGCCATCAGATCCATTCAAGTAATCAGTCGGTGCCTTTCTTGACAAGCGTTCGCATTAAGGCTTGTCAAGATTAAAGACAAATGAGATCTTTAATGATTTCTTCTTGTCAACTTTGGCTCAGGACGGAAAAAAACGAGATGACTTCATCAGATCAGTGTTTCCTTAAAGGCGTATGATCACCTTGACCATGACCCTCACATTAAGAAGGTTTTTTTATCAAGAATTTTACTATAAAATATATACTAAAATGTGGATTATTTAAATGACAGGTTTAGAAGAATATGACTTTTACAGGACTTCCAAAAGTCCTTACAGGGGGAATAAATATGAAATTGAAAAAAAAATCCTTTGACTAGTCTGTCTTTTTAAAACCATACTAATGAAAAAAAATACATGAAAAAAATACAGCGGAAGTTTGGTAGATAAGCTAATCAAACACATTTTTCCGGCGGAAATTGCTGTGTGTGTGTCACGTTGTCTGACTTCGGCTTATGACGAAAATAAAACGAGATGATTTAATCAGAACTGTGTTTCGTTAAAGGCAGGGGTATCCATGGGTCACCTTGACCCTCACGTTAAGTAGTTGGTTTTATCGAAGAATGCCGTGTGTGTCACGTTGTCTGACATACCGGTCACGTTCTGTCACAGGTGATGGCAGCGTGACGTTCCTTGAGTTTGTCAAGCTGATGGAGAAGAAGCGAGGGGAACCGGACGAGGAGCAGCTGATGGAATCCTTCAGGATGTTCGACAAGGACGGGGACGGCAGGATAGGCGCGGCGGAGTTGAGGGACGTCTTCACCAGCCTTGGGGAGACTGTGTCAGATGAGGACGTTGACAACATCATCAGAGAAGCGGACGCTGACTGTGATGGCCACATCAACTTTGAAGGTTTGTTTATTTGCTTGTTTTATAAAGCCGCACTCATCAATATTCAAGCTATATGGCGGCAGCCTGTAAATAATCGAATCTGGATCAGACAATCCGGTGACTGACATCATGAGCATCGATCCATCCACTTTAAACGTTTTGTGTTTGTGTTCCTGTTTCAGAATTCGTCACTCTCATGAAGATGATCTAAACTTGAACGTGTGTCATTCCATAAGGCATCTCGATTTCAAAGACATTTTGATCTATCACATGACAGTGGTGCAGCATACTCATCTTCGCCGACGCATCCACAAAATATCGTGACGTCATTGTGGATTTCAAGCATCATTTTTTATATATCTTGTCCGAAGTGAATATGGACACATTTAGCTTGTTCGTGTCCATGAGCACATTTGGAGTTTGTGCTGACATTAAGATAACAATATTATGAAGCCCGTTTACAGTCTAGGTCGAGACAGTTCAATTAGTGTAACGTGACACATTGTCTTTTTATAGCCTCGGGAATCAACCTCTAAATAAATAATAAATTTTCAGTATACAGATAAAATGAGTCTTCAATGACTTTTGAATACAAAATTGCTACGACTAATAAGTGCCCTGAGCTTATTCACCCTTTACATTAGAAGTAGTTCTGTGGTATACCGTATTTCTTCTAATAAACGCCCTTGGGGCGTATTTTTAGGACATTATAATGACCGACTTCATTGGAGGACTGATGTCTATTTTGTCTTCTAACGGGAAACATCACATTTACACTAGACCCGGCTTCTTTCCTTCCAATTTAATTCCGTAAATAATATTTGCATTGACGTATGTTCTTCGTAAGTCATTCGGCAGCACTCGGCTTTCCGTAACCTGAAACAAGACCAGTCCCTCTGGTGTAAAAAGATGCAAGTAATCATTTAAAATGACTACGATAACGAATCCATCATTAGTATTTCTTTATTGGTAACCTGTTTACCTATAAATCTTCCGAGGTTGTGTGTGTGTTCATGAAAATGAAACAGCAAAGGAAAACGCCAAAATTGATTACAACTATATCGAAGTGGGGAATGGGGGTTTCACAATGACAGACTTCCGTGTTTCTACGTTTGATCATTGTTTAGGGACTGGTAATTTATTTAAGGGGGGGGGGGGGGGTCGTCATGAAAACATGATACGTAAAACCCCTTCGCCCCCATAATAAATGACCAGTCCCTTACCAAAATGTTCCAAACGGTTGTAGTGTCTTTCTATTAACAACATAGTATCGTAATATGAAGCAGCCATGTCGCGAAGAGCAACAACTCGGTTCCATATGCCCCATTGTGTTAACGGAATCATGTCAACTGAATCGACACAGAGGGACAAGAGTCGCTGTTTTGAATGACACGAGTTGTCCCGGAATGACACGAGTGTTCATGCAATGTTCTTGTATTCGACCAACACAAGCTCTCCATGTCAGTTTTCGTTTACACACTTCAATGTTCTAGCAAACTACACCGTCTAATGTGAGCACATTCAGCGTGACAATCCCGTAATTATACCACGTCCTCATTCATTTTTTTCACTTTTTTACACATGCGTGTCTAAAACAACGGTCATTCTCCAGTGGAGAAATCAGCATACATTTAGATACCCAGGCGCTGATTAGCGTATAGCGCAACTCATTAGAGCACCAGTTTACCTTCGTGTGAACTACGTCATTACTTTTGCTGTTTGACAGTGTATGGTCATGATCATTGCAAACAGTTACCAAATAAAAACATAGAAATATGAAAGTGTTTGTTTTTCTTTCAGCTTTTTGTTTGTTTGTTGTTTAACGCCGCACATAGAAATATTCCAGCTTCACGACGGCGGTCTGAAAAAGTCGAATCTGGACCAGACTGTCTAGTGATTCAAATCATGAGCATCGATCTACGCAATTGGGATACGATGACATGCATCAACTAAGCCAGCGAGCCTGACCACCCGATTCCGTTAGTCGTCTCACGACAAGCATAGGTTCCTGAAGATGAATTCTAACCGGGATCTTCACCACATCTTCGACTGAATGTTTGCCATGCCTCTACTGGGGGATGGGTGGGCACGAGTGGCCCAGTCGTCTAAGGCGCCACGATTCGCTGTGCAGAGTTGCGCCCCTTGGGCACGCCAGAAACCTATGCTTGTGGGTTCGAATCCCGGTTCGCCCCGACTATGTTTCTAGGTTTGTCAGCACCATACCCGTGCTCGTGGGTTTCACCCAAGTGGTAAACGTCTGAGACCTGCACCACTTCGGACTTTCCTCCCACATTAAGCTGACACGCCGTGATATAACTGGAATACTGTTAAAAGCGGCGTTAAACCCAACTCACTCACTCACTCACTCACTCACTCACTCTACACTGGGCCCGCTGGTTCTCGGTTCGAACCCCATATATTGCTCAAGTATGATCATTTTATTTCTGCTTCTTATTCGTTATTATGGGTTCTATAGTGGTAAATGTCAATTTGGACTTTGCTCGCACATTAAGCTGACACTCCGTTATAAAAGTTATATGTATTCCTGTACTGTGCGAACCGGCGTTAGACCCAACCAACTTACTACACAGAGACAAGGACTATTGAACAATTGCTTGGAAATTACCAATACGAAATGACAGTGATCAATTGAACACATGTTTAAGTCAATTCTATTAGAAGTTGACGGTTGTTTCGCACGGTACTGTACCGTTATTCTATCAGAAGTGATCTGAAATCGTATTTTTGCGGGAGTTTAGTTTCTCTTGGACGTATAATCGAAAAAGGAGGAAGCGCATAACAGTGGTTTGTACGGTTTAAATAACGAATTGTCTATATGTCTTTGCATCAACAAATGGGCGTATAGGGTGAGTTGAAGATACGGTCCCACTCGTGATCGTTGATTCGACTAATGTGATAATCAATATACCATGTCTTAAGTGAGTGGGTGAGTTGTGCTTAACAACTCTTTTAATAGCATTCCAGTTATATCACGGCGTGTCAGCTTAATTTCGGAGGAAAGCCCGAAGTGATGCAGGTCTTAAACCTTTACCACTTCGGTGAAACCCACGAGCAGGGGTATGGTACTGGCAAAGCTAGAAACATAATCGGAGTAACGGGGATTCGAACCAACAATCATAGGATTTGGGCGTGCCCAAGGGACGCAACTCTGCACAGCGAATTGCGGCGCCTTAGGCGACTGGGCCACACGTGCCCCCGTTACATCTTAAGAAATTGGTCGGTGAAATGAAAAAAAATTAAGTGAAAAGAATATGAACTCTGGATGATCTTCTCATATTGATGGACTTTTGATTTAATTGTTTACTGTAATGTGGAAATTTGGGAAATAATAGGTCGGCAGATCCACCCAAACAAAAACAAAACGAAACGCCTTAGGGTGATACAATAAATATTAACACGATTTTAGATTGGGATTAAAAAGTTTGTTTGAATGATGATAACCGACATATGGTTCCAAATTCTTCGTACATGGGGCGGTGTGGAAGCCTAGTGGTCAAAGTGTTTGCTCGTCACACAGAAGGCCCGGGTTCGATTCCCCAAATGGATGCAATGTACGTGTCTCTTGACGTGATATTGCTGGATGTTTCAGCATATTTCACAGGTCGTCGTGTCCCTGTCACCCGAACGGTTACATGTTCTTTAGACCCGTGAAGATTCGGGATTAGAATTGGTCTTCAGCAACCCATGCTTGTCGTAAAAGGCGACTATGTCGTAAGAGGAGACTAATGTGATCGGGTGGTCAGGCTCGCTGACTTGGTTGATGCATGTCATCGTATCCCAATTGCGTGGATATGTGCCCATGATATCAATCACTGGATTGTCTGGTCCAGACTCGATTATTTACATACAAGCGTCATATAGCTGGAATATTGCTAAGTGCGTCGTAAAACAACAAACAAACAAAACATTTTCTATAATAATCTTAGTTTGTGAAAATACGTTTTTTACATACAAACAAGCCGGAGACATTTTCCAGTTGCGTGTGGAGTAATACGGTAACAAGTCGAGCTATAGGTGCACCTGTACAACGAGCTATCAATGGATTCCCTGTTGTGAGGATAGATTGTCATAGCGAGGCTTTAGAATGCAACTTCCTGGATACCTGACTATGAAAGTGACGGTCCATGGATAGCAATGTGACCCATTACGGAGTCACGCGAATGTAGAACTTTGCCGGTGTTTATCTGTCCAACTCCATGCCAACGCTAATCAAGCTTACTGCGTTATCGTGTGCAGGTGTGAGGTTAAATCTATAAACCCTTTATGTTATATGACCAAAGCCTAGACAAGGAAGTCATGTTGTTAGCAGCGGTATCAGCGGCAGGCAGTGGTTATATAACACGCTGGCTTAACAACCAACCCCCATGCTGAGATGTCAGTGGGAATTCCGCTGTGTTTAGCCTTGTAGTTGCTGAACTACGTGTTTGTAATCGGTCACCGGACAGGCAAACTTATGGTTGATAGATTTGTTTGTTTGTTTGTTGTTTAACGCCGTTCTCGGCAATATTCTAGCTATATGTAATAGCTAGCTGTAAATAATCGAGCCCGGGCCAGACAACCCAGTGATTGATATCATGAGCATCGATCTACGCAATTGGGATACGATGACATGCATCAACAAAGTCAGCGAGCCTGACCACCCGATCCCGTTAGTTGCCTTTTACGACAAGCATAGTCGCCTGTTACGGCAAGCATGGGTTGCTGAAGACCTATTCTAACCCGGATCCTTTACGGGTCGGTGGTTGATAGAGTGAACAGCTATGTAAGGCAATGTGAGTTGATTTTTCGTGGATCCTCGTGGTTACATGTTATCCATCCTCGGCAGTCATCTTGACCACCCAATACCCTTGACGACTGACGTCTACAGTATGTATGGATTGAACTACACCGAGTCGAATCCCACAGCATCTGCGGTGCAATGGTACCAGAAAGTGAAAAATCCTAAATATACAAAAGTTATAAGGCTTTCCTGATGCGAATAGGGGTTTACTCCCTTGTATATGACCCGTGAAGAGCCGGGGTAGAATAGGTCTTCAGCAACCCAGGCCTGCCATAAAAGGCGACTCTGATTGTCGTAAGAGGCGACTAACGGGATCGGGTGGTCAGGATCGCTGACCTGGTTGATGCATTTCATCGACCCCAATTGCGTGGATCGATGCTCATGATATCAATCACTGGATTGTCTGGTCCAGACTCGATTATTTACAGACCACCGTCATATAGCGGGAATATTGCTGAGTGCGGCGTTAAACAACAAACCAAACCAAACCAAATCCTTTGGATATAGATCTCAGGCAATATGGATATGAATAAATTGTTTATATATTTTGTTATAACTTTGGTGGCGAATAATGATAAGGAGGACAATATTCTAGACTGTAGAATTATCTCACTTGGTAATCTGAAAGGTTTCTGTCAAATGAGTGAGTGAGTGAGTCAGTTGGGTTTAACGCCGCTTTTAACAGTATTCCAGTTATATCACGGCGTGCCAGCTTATTGTGGGAGGAAAGCCCGAAGTGATACAGGTCTCTGACGTTTACCACTTCGGTGAAACCAACGTGCACGGTGCCGACAAACCTAGTAACAAAATCGGGGCGAACCGGGATTCGAACCCACATCATAGGTTTCTGGCGTGCCCAACTGACGCAACTCTGCAAAGCGAATCGTGGACGACTGGTCCACCTGTACCCCCGTTTCTGTCAAAACAAAACAAACAACCTCGATGTCTTCACATAGAAAACCTATGTTTTTAGTCTAGGGCAATAAACAATCTTATACTTTATGATCTCTTTTCGTGAGCATTTTCTTGTCATTCACTGAAATATAATTCATCCGAAGAACAGCTAATCAAGTTGCTGTGGCCTGAAATTTGCTTCGTCATATATACAATGAAGGTTTAAATTTATTGTTTTCTTATCAATAATGATAGAAACACCCTGTGTGATCAGACATGCGATATCCGATTTATTGACGTCATGTCTGGGCGAGCATGTAAACAAAAGAATGTGCATGCATCAACGATAGTGGCCTATCCCACCAGCGCGACGACGTTGTGTTTGGGTTTAGCTAAACGTTACGAATACGATAAACCCTGTAAATAATATTATTCAAAGCTCGAATAGTATTTTCATATAATCGATATGTTTGTGTATTGCCGTATATATATATACACACACACACACACACACACACACACACACACAGAGAACACGGATTGAACAGCTGGACACATTGCATTGTATCAACCTACGTCACTATCTAGTTGATGCTTTTGATAATTTTGCGTACTATACACATTCTTTTAATGAAAACATTGGACCTGCCTTTGTAGAATAATATAATATATATTGTATAAACATGAAATAAACGCGCGAAATCCATCGTCGCTGAATAACAAAGGAGGGGCGATAACTCTTGTCAATACCCGGGCCCTGTTATTACGAATCAGAGTGACAGTAGCCGGGGGAACATGGCGCCTAGTTTTGTTGTGTTTCCGGGTAATGTTAGCTAAAAATGTCAATGGGACTGAAATATTCATCCTCGAATTGCCAGAAACTGATAACTAATAATCTTTATCTACACATTTATAACAAGGGGACGTTGCTTCATGGGAAACAAGCAAATGTTTTCCCAGACATTTCGTCACGGAAACTTTGGCCTTTAGACGGGCGAATAACAAGTGAATAAAAAACCGAAACACGGGATATTGGCTTTTTAAAAGCATGGGAGAGTAGCGGTAATAAACGACTTCCTTTATAAACTATAGTTTGATCTATCCTTATGTTTATGGTAGGTCTTAATATGTTTTCAGTTATTATCCATAAAAGAAACGATCAGGAATGTTAACGATAAGTCGCTATATCATCATGATCATCATTATAAACATAAACTCCAGATATTGAATAGAAACAATTCCAGACAAACATTAATTATGAATTTTTGTGAGTGCGTGCGCGTATGTCTTGATAATGTATTCATTATGGTTTTAGGTAGCAGGAGTCACGAGTTTTGTTTCAAGTAAATCTAGGCATGGTATATATATATATGTGTGTGTGTGTGTGTGTGTGTGTGTGTGTGTGACCTAGGCTATAATGGACTTTAGTTGCATGGAGTCTTGACTTAAACAAGTTTACTATATATATTTAAACATTTAAGTTTCTGTTCCATTACTATTGATTTTCTTTTCAATGCGGTAGTAGTGACACGTACAGATACACACAGTCGTACACGATTGCTCAATACACAATCTCAAACTCAAGTACTGTGCATAAGGTCCACTACGGCTTTCGATAGCCGAGGCCATCTTTATCAACACAAGTCACGTGACTATTCGTACTTTGGTAACTTTGTCAACTGTTGGTCGATAGACACGTTTAAATTTACAACCATCGAAATAAAACATACTTGAGGTGTTGACAAACCATAACAGTGTTAGTCCCACCCACTTGCAGACAAAATTTGTTTGCTCTCAGCGCGTGTCGTTATGGCGATATGTCGCATTGCGGAACACGGCTGCTGTTTGTCACATTTCCTGCTTCGTTTTTGAAGCACACCTACGGGGAGAAGTCATTGACGGCGAATGCAACAGGTAGTTGGCGCATGAATATTGCGTCTCTTTTGAATAAAGTTGTTCCGTTATAAAAAGAGATTATCGTGTTTGACAGCCCTACACGGCATGTTCGCCAATCACAATACACAAAATATACATTTTTAATGTAATAAATAACACGATCTAATGTGAATAAACAAAATTATTCATGTTAAATTTTCCGCTCTGTCCCTCTCCATAATATCTGACCTGGTACGATTTACAGTTTTAAAACAAAGGAAGACCGTAAAGAGTCGAAATTGAAAGTGAAATTTGAACTATTGAACAGAAAAATGCCATCCTCATTATTATATTATTTTTTTAGGTCCAGTTATTCGAAGGAATAATTATATGAATGCGGTCACCTTTTTTTTAATATATTTCGCTTGTCGTTATCGAGAGAATATTGCGGTCCATAGATACAAGTTGTTTTCAATAATTCTAATATTACGACATAAAATGAAAAAATACAAGTTTAACTGGCGTATCCCAGATATAATTTAAATCATAATTTCAAATGCGGTAGTATATTAACCGATAAAGAAATAAAAAATGCAAATTTAGCAATCAAATGAAACAATATTATTAAATATACATCACAACTTGTTGCATCCGCTTACATTACATTAGTGACAATGTAAATAATGAAATAAATAAACAGATTCATTCCAGTCTTGTCAACATATTGCCGTGTTCTATAATGGAACTATATATCAATACTACAAATTGTAAATAAATCGCTCTGTCCTATCAGAACATGTCTGTGAATTATCCCCATGGATTAACATACATTAATTAAAGATAATTCTTCAAAGGTGCACTATGGGTGATTATTATAGTCCCATTTTCTATGCATGTCTCGGTCGTATTAATTACAGGGTATTGTTGAAATCAGTTCATACATTCCCACGGATGGCGTTTGTATTGAATTTCATTAATGCTATTCTGCAATAATTACATCATTAAGTATCACATAGCTGTTAAAGCCTCCCACAAACAATACATTCGTTAGGTTCAATAGATTTTTTTCTGTTATTTAATTTGTCGCATTGCGACAGATTGTTAGGGTCAGCTGGCCATTTAAAGTTATGAATGCTCCCTGTCTATATATAGCCTTGAATGTTATTGGACGTCGTGTTCAGTAAGGTAGCGGAAATTTGAAAGATCAAACCCGGGAAGGCTAGGTGTATCATACGTTGACGATTACAATCCAAGATGGTAAGTACTTGTTTTGTTGCCATCGGGATAATTGTACATATGAAATATGTTTTGTAAGTATTGTAGAATATATCGGGGTGAATATTTTTCCTTCTACTTCCTTTGAACGGCTTGACAGCCGATACAACTAAATGAATAGAAAGTTTAGAAAGGCGGGTCAACTTTTATCACACCTAAGGCGTTCGCTGTATGGGCTTTCTTTTCTATGACATTGTATGGCATTATTATCCTCGTATAACTCTTTTTGAAAGTAGTAATGGTACATTGTCATTCAGGAATTATCCGATCAAGTTGAAACTAGTTCGAAGAAACTTTAGATTCACCGGTCCCGACGCTCACCTGTTGAAGGCTGTTCTCAAGTTGATCATTTCGATCAATGATTCATGCAGAGACATTTTGTCACAATGCGTGCAATTTCAGATCACTGATTTCCTCTGATTTCATTGCTTTTATGCATTTATGCACATATTAGTCCAGACTTCTCTTTTTTGACGTTATATTTTGTGAACAGTTAGGTAGGTAGTCATGGTTGTGAAACCGACAAACACCGACCGTTGATCTGTCATATAGGCCTATAGGAAAGTCTTCCTTGAAGAAATAAGAAGTATTGCCAAAGGTCGCTATCCTAATGCATGGATAACACCGCCAAATGATAAAGAAACTTCGATTTAAGACCTACTGAAAAAATAGTTTCTTTTAACCAGTCGTAGGAAATGATTCAGCCATATAAGTTAGGCTAGTATTATTTTCGGTTGACGCCCCACCAGTTCGGGAATTCTTGAGTAGGACGATAGAGGCCTAAAGTGCTACATTCCTGCTTGTTCTCGATATAGATTTAACGTTTTAAGTCTAATGTGTAGTTTCCATTTTAAAACTGTATAAATACAACTTGCGTTTGAGAAACTGCTATCAGTTGTTGGGTTCAGAGATCCCCAAGGTGTTATTTTAGTACTTTTTCAAACAGGTTTTCTTGTCACCCATGACTTGTTTGAATGAATGAGGGTTTGGTTAATCCTATTTTAGTAGAGTAATTTTACCAAGTTTCTGTCAGCAGACATCAACAGTAGCAGGGTTCACTCTAGGAATTTTGTGACATGGGCCCTTTATGTGAAAACTTCAAACATTCCAGAAGTACGCCTATATAGCACAATGTTAAAATACACCATTGTATTTGAAAATGTGGGCCTTTTTTTTTAGGGGCACAAAGCAGAAGGCCCTGTATGTCTTCCCGAGGCAAGGGATTTAACTGACTTTAAAAGTCCAGTTTCCACCCTTCCAAATCCTGTAACTAAATCTACATCCAAATCATAAATAACCATGGCAACAGCAGTTCTGAATTTGTTAGATTGCAATTATAGGTTACGATATGCAAAATTGCGGTTTCTACAAATTTCAAAGGATGTGGCAAGACATTTTCGTGCAGAACACACGATAGAAATCTACAAAAGGAATATATTTTAAGTTTTGAGGACAACAGAGTTTGGAATTTTGTGCTAAATCTGTGTGTCACAATGAGCGATGTGATGTCATAATGTTGGTATGCAGTGTATTTAGTCATTGCAGAAGGGAGATAAACATACTGTGTTTTCAATGTAGAGCTAGTTTACCTGTAGATTTAACCACGTTGAATTGAATTTGTATCTGAACACATACCTCCTAATAAAATTATTAAATACAGTTGCAATTTTCTGCATCGTGTGCAGGAATGTTTATGTCCATATTCATAAACTCATAAGTACGGATTAAACTGAACAACAGGTCTGTCTCAAATTAAGCACTCAAGCAGTTACTAGCCGAGATTGAGATATGGAAGAGTGATTGTTGGACTGAAATTAGCCATCACTGTGCAGTGGACCATAACTAAGAGAGAATGTGACTGCTGTGACCCAATTACACACATGGTCGTTCAGTCGATAAGATTTATTGTTGGGATTAGTCACATTTCCACATGTGGCTGGTTGCTGTACAAAAGAACTTGTTGAAGGCAATTTGGTCAGCCAACTGTTCACTTGATTAAGCATTTGTCAAACATTCGGGGATGGTGTTTGAGGCTTGTTTGGGAATCTATCTTTACTAGAGCTTCGTATATTAGGCGAAACATCAATAAAATCTGTTTCCCAATACTGGATCAATGCAATAAATAAAAATGTTATGGAAAATATTTATAACACCTGATATTGTTGAACATAGATGAGCTTACATTCAAAGTACTGTTAACATTGATACTATTAGAAAGTAGACACAAAGTTGAGAAATTTGATAAACACTGATAACAATGCAGCAATGTTAATCTTCAGCAACTTAAATTGCAAGCCTGAATTTTATTGTCTTATAAATCAGTGATACATTGATAAATTGTAATATTATTATTTCTTTAGTTCTGAAATTTCCAATAAGTAACAGAATTATTTATATTGAATGTGCAAGAATTATTAATATTGAATGTGAATTTTGGCACTTTCATTTACATGAATATTTTCAAAACTACCAGGTACAAGTGTTATCTTGATATAGTCTGATATAATCTATATTAATAAATTGCATGTGAATCTGTGGCAGATGATTGGATATCCAAGCCAAAAACACATTGGACCACTGTTTTCTGATTGGCTGATAATAGAATGGGCAGGACTTGTTACATTAGCAGCAGTAGAAACTAACATTTTTAGTCCACTTGTCCTTTTTACAACTTAAACTAGCAAAACCCTTAAAATGTCAAATTTCTACTAATCCTTTTCATACCTTAATTATTCGGGAGTTGGCAAGGACTGTAGGAGTAGTGCAGATTTCTAAGGCTGATTATAGCACTAAACGATGTAGCTGATTTTGTTTTGTCTATAGGTGCTTTTTTGCTTGTTATTATATACATAAGTAGTTTGTGAAGTTATTATTGTTCACATATTTATTTATAAGAATTCTAAAGAAAACAAACCCTGTGCGCACACTTTGCTTAAATTCACCATAAAGATTCAGTGTGCGCACCACTTTTTACATTTATACCTCCTTAAATGCAAAAAAAATATTGTAAGTGACAAGTCATTTCTTAAATGAATATGTCAATAGTGAAAGACATATCCAGTTTGCAGTATGTGTATGTGCATGTGCATGCGTGTACGTTTTGTCAATAGATTATATAAGCTTCCTCATTCCAGGGTTTTACAAGGTTCAAAATATTACACATACAACTTAAGAATGGATATAAATAATATGCGCTGTGAGACAGTTTTAACCATAAGAGAGCACAAGATGAGCTGCATATTAGCATAAAATAAGCAAAATATATCTCCATCATCTAGAGTTGCTTGCCAACAATTATGTGTGGATGTTTTAAGAGTCAGTATGAAACTGTTTTATTTTATTTGAGATCTATGTCACTGATCAAACAGGCATCATGTCCTACATGGACTTGACTGTAGTGAATAATGTTTGTTTGTTGGTAGGCTGGTTGGTTGTTTAACACCGCACTCAGCAATATTCCAGCTATAGGACAGCATTCTATAAATTGTGTGGTCAGACAATCCTGTGACAGAAATCATAAGTATGCAATTTGGATATGATGACATACATCAACAGTCAGCGTGAACACCTGAACCCATTAGTCGCCTCTTCCAACGAGCATAGTTGCCTTTTGTGGCCAGCATGTGTTGTTTCAGACCTATTCTAACCCGGATCTTCATGGTGTGCATTTATAATATTGCCAAAAGCGCTTTGCGTCGCTTATTCAAGTTATTGTAGATTTGACATATTGTGAGGTTATGCAAGGCGTGACTCACTTGGGGCATCACATGAAAATAAGGCAATAAGCTTAGTTGGTTTAAAGGCCTGGTTTGTTTTAAAATATCCAAAAGACCCCAGGGAGTAAAAAAATAATGAAGGAATGATGTTCGGCTTTCTATGCTATTGCTTTTGAATAATTAGTGCATGACAGCTTGCTTTCATTAGCCCAAGGTTCAAATGAATAAGGACAATTCAGATCGCGACTAACGGGATCGGGTGGTCAGACTCGCTGACTTAGTTGATGCCTGTTATCATATCCCAATTGCATGGATCGATGCTCATGGCAATCACTGGATTGTCTGGTCCAGACTCGATTATTTACAGACTGCTGGAATATTGCTATGTGTGGCGTTAAACAACAAACAAATTGCTTTTGATATTCAGTGTCTCAATCTATGCCAGATACTTTTGAGTCTACCAAATAAACAATGCCTAGCAGAACAGGAAATGCAATATAAATGGTTAATCATCACGTCTAGTGATGTTTTACCTCAAATTTCAAATATTTATTGACCAAGTTTGTTATCACCTGTTCCTTCACCCGAATTCACTGAAGAGATGATGTAGTTTTTAACTGCACATAATACTTGATAACTTTTATTTAACACTATGCCTTGCACTCCAATATTTTAATCCTTTTTCAAACTCTGAGGCAGGGGTGAGGCTACAGCGGCTTTGATCGTGTTAGTTAGGCTGAGCATGTACTGTTGTGTTGGTCATCTACAACTCCCACATTGGTTAAATGGCTGATTTTTTTGGATTACAAAGGTAGCATTGCAGCGAGCAATCACTGTAATTTTTTTCAAACCATAAATATGCAGTCATGTGCATTAAATAAATATAATTTGGAAAATAAAAATGTGAATACATGAACACATAGTGATGGACAGTAAATAAGCTAACATTCTGTAAATTATGTGTCATGTTTAAAACATATTTGTCTCCCTGGTTTCACCAAATGTCCCCAATTTTAACTTAGAAAGGTAGGGGTCATTGGGACCCACTTTTCCATTTTTTGAAGTGAACACTGCATGTCAAATATTATATTTTGTTATTGTTCCACTGAAGATAATAAAGAATACATCAACTGCTGACTTGTTGTATTCGTGAATAAATATAAGTATACGTGATATGTATTGAATTCGCCTCATAGTGTATTCATTGCAGCCCTAGTCCTGACTCAGACGCAATTATTTACAGGCCGCCATAATATGGCTTGAATATTGATGAGTGTGGCGTTGAACTACAGACAAACATATCTAATTGGTGGTTAATGTAAAATGAGTGATATATTTAAATTAGTAAAACGCAACATGTCATACTATATTTTCACTTGTCTCGGACTAAATGACTAGTAGCTATGTCTAACCTGGTTCAGTGTTGTGATTGTTATGGTTTCATAGTATGGCAGAATGTCAAATGTCAAGTAGTTACTGCAAATTGACTATTTCTGCTTCTTTGGTTTTATATGGTTATGAAATCTGTTAAGAAAAAAAGAAAACTAGCTAAAATCAAGTTTAGGTATTGACATGTCCAAAATAATTTCAAGTAAAATTTGGAATATAGTTTAAACAGTTACTTTTTTTTTACAGGCAGATCAGCTGACCGAAGAACAGATTGCTGGTGAGTAATACTTTTCCCCTCCTGAAGGCTTTAAAGAAAGTTCTTGACACATTATGGCAGCTGGCTGAATATGTGACGTTAAATCTGAACTCACTAAAAGACATTTATATTTTAAAAAATGTTTTAATATGTATCAATTACACCATGATAATAAACAAAACAAATCATACCGAAGCCTGATTAAACATCCCTGTCGCACGATGTCCTGACCTTTGCATGCTTTGTGGGCAGTTTAATTCCATACCAATAATTAATTTGGTAAGAATGAAAAACTTCATCAGGCTTTGTCTCCTAAATGCCAAATAGATTATAGAAACTTCCAACAGTTAAAATGACATCTTCATAAGTATTTCACTATTTGTCAGTGTCTCATAAAATTTCTCTGTCATTGTAGAATTCAAAGAGGCTTTCAGCCTTTTCGACAAAGATGGCGATGGCACCATCACAACCAAGGAGTTGGGAACCGTCATGAGGTCACTAGGTCAGAACCCAACAGAGGCAGAGTTGCAAGACATGATCAACGAAGTAGATGCTGATGGTAAGTACGGTGAAAATTGAAACATTTGTCCAAGGACTTTTTCACCAAAGTCAATGCAATGACTGTTACATGTCTCAGTTTGTGTACAAGCTTATAAAGTGTCAGAAATTAAGCACGAAAGCAAAGTGTTTTTTGTCATTGCCATCATGCTAAAAATTAAAGAATTAGGGGGCCCCTAGATTCAAATACTACAGGAGCAAACCTCAAGGATCTAAGGATCCTCTTAATTTCTAACACTATTGAGTCATATGGTCAAAATAGTGCCCCTGGAATTAATTACAATGGGATTAACTTCACTTACTATGTCGACAGGTAAATACTTTCACCTTTGTGAGAAACAAGTTTGATATGTGCTAGAATATGCACCAAAATGTTGAAAAAGCATAAAGACTGCTGAAAATGCCATCCTACAAACGTATTCATTTGTGCCATTAGTCTTCGCTTATGACAACTTGGGTGTAAAATATAACCCAAAATATCCTAAAGCCTTTTTCCTACTGGTAATGATAAAAAAGGTCTAATCAAACATAAACATATTAATGTGAATGTCATGCCATTTGTGTTTCTGTGAGATTAAACAATAAAAGGGCTTTCAAACTGATGTTAATTTCTAATATTATCAAATAAGCATGACGCCTAAAAAAATAGAAACTATATTTCATTGTTAATCCTTGGAGGAACCCCCATTTGGAAAACATGGACATGTTTGAGTGAGAAACTTAAACTAAACAATGCTTAGCAGACTCTGTTTTATGATAATTGGACTAGACAGACTTTCTCAAAAGAAACAAAATTCTGAGCAAACAAGTACTCCTTGTTAGGTTTACATAATTTCCTTCAGAATATACAAAGTGATGTCTACTTTCTGCAGGTAATGGAACAATTGATTTCCCTGAATTCCTGACAATGATGGCCAGAAAGATGAAGGATACTGACTCAGAGGAGGAAATTAGAGAGGCATTCCGAGTGTTCGACAAGGACGGCAACGGTTTCATCAGTGCAGCTGAGTTGAGGCATGTCATGACAAACTTGGGCGAGAAGTTGACAGACGAGGAAGTAGATGAAATGATCAGGGAAGCAGATATTGATGGTGATGGACAAGTAAATTATGAAGGTAAGTTGTTTCTGCCTCAGAAAATGTTCAGGTTATTATTATACCACCCATGAAGAAATCTGTAATGGGCAGCGTTTATCAAAGGGAGATAATCTTGTGGCAGAAGTTCTGTTGTTGCGCCTACATTCAGCTTGTCACTTTCAGCCTGCATGGTCAAGGAATATTTTGGCCAAATATAAGATAATTGGGGATAATATGGCTTTTGAAGTGATGAATTTTGTAGAACCATCTTGTTGTTCCAAAAAGAAGTGAACATTAATTTGTTTGATTTCAGCAGATTTTATTGAGTTTGGGGCTAATCAGATAAGTGGTTTATAACTGTACTTATAAATTTTCCTTTATCCCTCAAGTCTATTTCTGTTTGAAGTGGAAAATAATTATTCTTTTCCTTTTCAGAATTTGTTAAAATGATGACATCCAAGTAGACAACGTTGTTTCTTCAAGTCTTCCGTTCATCCAGCTGCCTTTCTGTCATCCTCGTCTGTCAACATATTGTCTCTTCAATACATTCCATCGTTTTTGTTGTGAAAATGGACCAACAATCATTGTTTTATGAGATTCCATCATAAGGAAAGCAAATTTTTATATAAGCATCTTTCTTCTGAATCTGTTGCCCATTGAGAGAGAACCCTGTCAGTGTTGGTGCTGGAACGAGGTGGAGGATCTCCCCATCCTCTCGGGGGCAGAGATGAGTGTCCTGGATCTGAACAAACACCTCCCAAACTGTTCCGGCTGCAATGTTCCTGCAATCTTGTCACTCTGATGGGAAATGGAGTTGTTAATGAAATGATTAAAGAGTTATTTTATTGAAAATCCACTTTTTCTTGTCAAATGTGTTATTGACCATTATAACATGACATTAAAAAAATATACCTCCAAACCAGCAAGCCTTTTCACACAAGTGTGTGAAGGTATTACACCTCAGCAAAATTTCAGCTTGATCATGCTTTTACGGAACAAGCAAACTCGCGCAAGGGTTTTAACTTACGAAACATGGCAACAGTTTAGTCCAAGGGAGGTAACTCGGGGATTACTACTAATTTTACAGATCACACTCCAGTACACGATAGTGCCAGAACATATCTTGAAACAATTTATAAACGTCTGATACATCGTGAGTTTCTAGCTGTGCCCATCAGATATAGTTCCTTTATATATTTTTATGACGCGTTTACATAGATAGAAACATTACATCAGATTTTTTAATATTCATTTTTTTTTATTATTATTTTAGTGCCCGTGATGTACTTTGGGTAGGTGTTTTGCATGAATCTAATGGTGGCTAGACGAGCTATTCTCTCCTCCACACCAAATGCTGTGTAGTGTTGCAAACACTAGCCCTGTAATGATCCGCTGATTGTTGTTGGTTCGCCCCAATTATGATCATTATCATTATCTGCCGGTGTCCCGGTATAAACTCTCCCCCGTACAAATTCTCCCCCCGGAGATTTTATACCGGTACAGATTCTCCCCCGGAGAATCTGTTCTGAAATAAAATCTCCCCCGGGCGGATATGTTTCGCGCCCCCCTCAGTATAAAGTCTCACCCCTGATTATTCGGTTTGTTGCAATGTCTTTAAGTACTATATTCTTTAAATAGTTATCTTTAATGTAAGGAGGGTTACTTTAAAAAATAGATTATGAAATGTGGTCATTATGAGTTGATATTTCAGCATATTTTATTTGGTAACTGTACCTTCCATCCTAAAATAATTATAAGACATATATCATAACAAACAAATTTGAAGGAAATGACTTAATGTAACAAATACATGTACGGTTACTGTTGTAACTGAATTCAGAAATCTTATTAATCCTCGCAAACATCCTCGCCTCCAGCTCAGGCTGTCCGTTATACTCTGATTTTAGATCTAAAATATATTCCTTAATACAGGCTACGATATGAAAATGGTATCAGTGTAATATCAGTGGCTAGAATATCATGGTGCAAGCAGGTTTCTGTTAAACATACAACATCATAACTATCTAATTCAGCACTGATAAAATCTACTTTGTCTTTAAGACTGCGTACGTTTAGATATATAATCTTTAAATCTGGACTATGCAAAGGTCATGGATTCGGATGGATATCACCGCAGCATAAGAGAAAAAGTAAAACTAAGAATGATAATCGGAAATTATATAAGCAAAGTAACCCAAAATATAGAGAAATGTGTATCATCTTCCCGAAATGATTAGCATGTAGAATAGATTCAAAAACACCCACTATCAGCCTGTATTGAACAACATCAACCGGCATCGACAAAGCAAAGTGATCATGTAATTGTTACAATCGGGCTGGTGGTGAATCTGAGAAGGGATTCATACGTTATATACAACTTAAAAAAAGTATGATTATGAAAAACGAAAGGAAAAGTGCCGCCACCCCCCCCCCCACCCCCCCCCCACCCCCCCCCACACACACACACACACACACCCCACCCCACCCCTCCTCCCACAACCGAAAAGAATAAAAACCCGCAAAATCAATAAAATTAAAAATCAACAAATAAAAACAAACAACCACACACACACAAGTAACTAAATGTATATTTAGATAAATATATCACGCAGAAAAAATAAAGGAGAGATAAATAAAATAAAAAATACATATACAAATAAACATTAAAACCTAGAGGAATATGAAAATGTGTAATGCTAAAGCACGAAGACACGATAAACTGTACCAACATTACAATGTTTTTTCAAGTGTGCTCCATTCAAGAAAAGTTATATAGAATTATATATTTACTCTCCCCCATGTATTTTGCTCTTTTATGTAAAAGCTTTTTCACCGTACACATTTTAATTACAGATTCCTTTGTTTTGATTTTAATGCAAACAAACCAGGCTTTTGAAATGCTATACAAAAACTATGCTTAAAAGTTTACAGAGTTTGTTGTTTCTAATACAGTTTTTGTTGTCTGTATACATTTTTTTAATATACCAGTTTGAGTCTACATGTGAACACAATCGATGGTTGAAATGTAAGTCTAAGAACAAAACATGAACTTATTCTCAAGAACTCTGATGTATAAAGTTACCTTCATCTTTGATTGACTGATGTATTTTCAATCTTTATTCAGCACTGAAGAGGCCACAGGCCTATAGTACGAAGCATTAAGTTTATGAATAATCAGCATCGATTTTGACTCCATAAAGTGTCTCAAAGTATTCAACAAGTATCAGGGGTCATTTAAACTTGCAAAATGATTGACATTCCCCCCATGATAGAGCGAGGATTGGGCTGTTTTCCCACCCGATTGATTGATATTACAACATTCACATGGTTTAGAACGGTACAATGAAGGGTAAAGCATGCAAATTACACTAATACACGATATTTCATAAGAAAACATCATATCTCCGTTAAAACATATAACCAATATTTATGAGCCTACATATTGATATAAGACTTTATCACTGTATCCAATTCCAAAATTTTAGATATAAACTTTCGGACTGTTCAGTTCAAAATTCTTCAACCTTTAATACATCACAGGATTTGTAGCTAGACTGTGTGTTTTCTTTGATGAGAATGTTTCTCACCGACCTTAGCGTGTAGGTGTGTGATATCCTGGGCAGGAAATGACAGTGTTTTGACATTAATTAACGTGTTGGACATCCCTAATTAACCTTTACTAATTCATGTTAAACCAACACAGGATGTTTTCTGGAAGTGGACAATCGCGAATGCCATAGGGCTGACATGACACGTGTTAATAACTGTCCTAGAACTTCTAAAGTTACTATACAATCTTTATACCTAACGACTAGCATATAAACTAAACATCGTCTCTATCAGAAGCCAGCTAAACAACCAAACAATCAAATTTCAAAAACAAACCAAATTCTTAGGACTTATTTTCGATGAACATCTCACCTGGGATGCTCACATCCAAAACCTAACAACTTAATGCAGTAAAGACCTAAACACCCTAAGATGCCTAACTGGCTCTAACTGGGGAGTTTGAATACTATTCCTGTTGTTGTTTTCTGAGTTAAGGGAGAAGCCGAATTTTTCAGCCCATTGTTGTATTTTATTTAGAGATTTTTGGAGTAAATTTTGGGCCATTTTAATGCTTTTAATGCTTTTAGTGCGGATCATCCGCGAATTTTGATGTGTTTAGTTTAGGGGATAGGCCATCGAATAGATCGTTTATCATTATATTGAAGAGGGTGGGGCTGAGGATACTGCCCTGGGGAGTGCCATTTTCTAGGGGACATTGGTCCGATAGTGTTTGGTCTATACCCACGGTTATTTTACGATTGTTTAGGAAGTCCTGGATGTAGTTTATTATCTGACCTTTGAGTCCTATTTTTTAAAGTTTTTGTATTAGCCCGTCGTGCAATACCATGTCGAAAGCTTTAGAGAAGTCTAAGAAGATGCCTGTGGTATATTGTTTATTTAGTTGACCTCTCTTAATATCTTGCTCTAGTCGGGCGAGGTTATCTAGGGTTGAGCGGCCAGGAGTGAAACCGCTTTGATCTGGGTTTAGTGCCTCAAATACAATCACACTGCCTCCCAATGCACATACCCTAAAACTAAATGTAAAAAATGCGCACAAACAGACTGCCCAGGCACATGCACACCCTGGTGCATCCACTGCAAATCCATCCAACACACTTCACTTTCAAACCAATGCCCACACAGACACACACTCACCCAGCAGGCCAACAAACACATAAACATAGACACGGCCAAAATCCAAACAAAAAATTTGCTACACCCGCATCAAAACCACTCCTCCCTACACCACACCCAAACACCATCCCACAAACAAACACCACACCCATAACCGACAGCTCTGTCTGGGCCCCCTACCGAAAAACCGCACCCACCTCACACACACAAGCAGCCACTCAACCAACCACGAACCCTCCCACATCTCAACATAGCCAAAACATCAACCCCCGCATGCAAAACAAACCACAAAACGACCGCCACAACACGACCCTCATCCAAGCACCCTACAGCCCACATGGCAACAACACTCTCCCACAAGCAAGCACAACAACAAAACACAAACACTAAGAAATCCACAGCTACACCCATCCCGCAAATACCTACACAACCCTCCACATCACATGCCTCCCCTATGGAAACTCAAACAGCTAAACCTAATCTAACCGATGACGAAGATTTCCTCCACTACTGAGAGAACAATAGACACTACTCCAACTAAAACAAACCAAACTTCCCTCTCAGCCCCAAAAAGGAAGAAAAAACTAAACCGCAAAACTCCCCAACCAGCTAACACCCAAAACCTAAATAACCTCACCTTACTCCTAGTATACATGCATAGTCAAAACTCACCATAAGCTAGCATGAAATCCTTCCACAAAGTAGCTTTCAATCTAAAATTAACCCATCTTCCCTTCTTCCTCTTTAACCTCCATCTAAAAGAAGTCACCGAATAAAATAAAAACTAAAAACTAAATCACCAATCACCCGAACCCAATAATGGAAGGACTAAATATTTTTCAGTGGAACGCCAACGGACTCACCTCCCACGGCCATGAACTAAAAACTAAATTTAAACTAAATAAAGGCCCTCACATTGCTTGTATCCAGGAAACCAAATTCTCAAAAAAAATCCAAATTCACACTACCTAACTACAACTCAGTTAGAACTGACAGAGCTAAACCAAAAACAAGAGTGAGTGAGTTAAAGCTTTACGTCACATCGGCAATATTTCAGCCATATCGTGACCCCAAAACAAGAAGAGCCGCAGGAGGACTAATCATATTTATCAGGGAAGATATAAATTACGAAGAAATAAAAATAGACACGCCAAACCTAGAAACCAACGGC